AGCTGGCAAGAACATTGTAGTGTAGGCCTATAGAAGGAAAGGTGATGCATGACAGGATAAAGGGTAGAAACAAACTATAGCCCTGATGGTGGGTCACTCTTCACTGCCTATGTTGTTCCAGTTCCAGGAACTTTTTAAAGGCTATTGAATCTGTGAATGAATTCATAAAATTCTGGAATGCATGATTGGTAGCAATCATTTATTGCTTCAAGGAAAGGGAACTTGGATACTTTGGGTGATGGAGCTAGGAAGAAAACTTACTTTTTGGTTGGCTATCTTTTGTGCCTTTTGAATTGTGTAAAATGCCAACTGTTCCTATTCAGAAAAAAGCAGTGAGTGGATGACATCAATCTGCCTGAATGGGTGCCCATCTGCCAGGAATTCCAAAGACCAGTTAGGGACTTAAGTCCCCAGACTTCATGTGAGTCACAACAGGGCACCAGCCTCTGTCACAGCCAGCCTGGAAGAGTCAAGGATTCATCACTCCTTTCAACAAATAATGGGGGACCAGAAGACAAGCCCTTCCAGCCTCCCAAATCCACAAGATCTACAAAGGCAGGATGGAAGAGAGAGGGCTTTAACAATTCCAAAGTAGACATATTGGAAGGCTATGGAAAGACAAGCTAGTACAATCAAATTGACCTGCAAAGATCACAACTGAGAAAGATAAAACAAAACTAGTGTCCCACACTGTGGATCCATCTCTTGACCTCTCAGCGCTTCAGTGTTCTCATCTTTAGAATGGGAATAATTCAAGTTTTTGCAAGTGTTAAAGATGTCTATACATGAAACTTGTACAGTATAGTACCTACCTCACTAAGAGCTTGTGCAGTGCTGAACAAGTCCTTCCAGCCCTTAGCAAAGGAAGAGAGGACACCTTACAGAGATGTATCAGGAGTCACAGTAAATAACCCCGCCCTCTTTAAGGATTCCAGGGTCACAGTGTCCTAAGGTCCAGAAGGAGTTAACACAGCCCAAGGAAATGATTTCCCTGCCTGGTTCTTTCCAGTTGGGAATGTTTCCATAGAAGGATGGGGTATCCCCAGACCATTTGTTATAATCAAACCTGTATTCCCTGAGAAAAATAGATTTTCTCTTTTCTTCTGACTGTATACCTTTTACACACACACACACACACACACGGAGCTATTTAAAAAGTAGAAAAATGCAGTCACAATTTTTCTTCTCCATTCCTACATGTTTTGCCATTTTCTCAAGAGGAGGAGTTTTGAAGGGAGAACAGGTAGGGACAAGTAGAAAAGTGAGGGTAAGTCCCTTGATCCATGGAGGGTCCATGTGGAATGTATCTTGGGACGTGGTCACTGGTCTTACACATCAAGCAGAGCTGTAGGTGTGTCACCATCCTCAGCTCAACTCACTGCCTTGGTCCCTGGCTCTGCCTGCTCAGCTCCTCATCTCCCAGGAGGAAAATGCCTATGTCATTATGAAGGTTCTAGGTTGGGGCAGAATGCGGGGGGGAGGTCAGAAAATTTGCATGAAATGATACATGAAGAAACAGATTCTTCCCATCTGGAAAGTGAAATCGAAATGCAGGGGGAAGTAGAAGAACTGAAATGCAAGAGAGTAGAAAAGCACAGGCTTGGAGCCTAAAGATTGCTTCATAACCCATGGTTCCCTTCACTTGCTTCCCTTCTCATTTCTTATGGCTCAGGCCCCATCCAGAAACCCAGAGAAACCTCATCTGGAAGACCAGATGAAGTGACTCACACCTGTAATCTCAGTTATTTGAGAGGTAGAGATTGGGAGAGTCATGATTCGAGAAAAACTTGGGGAAAAATTAGTGAGAGCTAGCTCAACAAACAATCTGGGCATGATAGTATGCTCCTGTCATCCCAGCTACTGGATAAGTAGGAAGATCATGATCTGAGGCCAGTCTGGGCACAAGCATGAGACCCTATCTGGAAAATAAGTAAAGCAAAAAGAACTAGAGATGTGGCTCATGTGGCAGAGCACTTACCTAGCAAGTGCAAAGCCTTGATTTCATATCCCAGTACCACAAAAAAGAGAGAGAAAGAAAAATGAAATGAAATGAAACCTCAACTGGAAAGTCAAGCAGTAGATGCTGACTCTCTGACTCCAGAGTAAGAAAAGGAAGTAGTATGACAAGAGGAAAAAAGGAGAAACTAAAGTCTCATATTATGTAACAGGCAAAGTCCCACATTGCCCCACCACGCTGTCCTGGGTGAAATCTTTTTTCATGGGACTGTCCTGGATTCCTACCACCTTCCCCAAGATACTGCCTCAGTTGAACTGACTTCTCTTCTGAATTATCCAGGGACTGGTCATAGCTCTACTCTGAGCTTCATCTGACCAGCAAAGGAAGGATGGATTCCTTTACTATCTGAGAATCCAGGACCCCCCAGAGTAGTGTGGGATTCTAAGAGCAGGCTTACTTCCTGAGACACCCTTGGTGAAGCCTCAGCCTTCCTCAGCTGCTGAAGCAGAGCACAACTTCATCATAGCCCATTTCTTTGGAATGTGTTCACCTCTCGGAGAAGTTTGGCTCACCTTCTAGAATGCTCCATTATCTTCTGCACTGAGCTGTGGGGGTCACTCTCTGTGAGAGTCACTTCAGTTGGTAACTTTAGTAGTTCCCTATTGTAACTATAACAAATTACTACAAAGTTGGGTGTCTTACAACAACACACATTTGTTCTCTTAAATTTCTGGGAGTCTTAGAAGTTCAAAATCATTTTCACTAGGGTGTGCTCCTTCTGGAGGAATTTCTGGGGAGAAACTATTTTCTTTTCTTTTTCACCTTTAGAGCTACATTCTTGCGTTACTTGGCTTGTGGACTCTTCCTCCATCTTCAAAGCTAGCAGCATAGCATTTTGCTTCAGTTGTCACATTGCTATCTTCTCTTCTATTGTCAAATTTCTCTCTGCCTCCCTTATAAAGATGCATGACTACATTTTAGGGTCTGACAAGATAATCCAGGACAATCTCTTCATCTCAAAATCCTTCACTCCATCCTATCTGCAAAGTCCACTTTGCCATGGATGGTAAAATTCACAGGTTCTGGGGAGCAGGGTGTGGACATCTTGGGGGCCATTGTTCAGTCTACCACAGTGATCTATACTTTGTCCCCAGGCCTGGGGATCATCCATTCTCTCTCACATCCCATCTCCTCAGAACAGAGCTGTGTATCTTTCTCTAAATCTACACGCTAACTTTCTAGACTGCCATGACTTCCCCTCCCTTCACTTTCTTTATGTCTTGAGGATATTCTAGGATGGTACCATCCAGTGGGATGCTTTTCCTTCTCTGCTATCAGATGAGTCAGTTTTGAAGTAAGTTAATCTCTTTCTTACTCACTGATGCAAGAAGTAATCAGTCTCCAATATCCTGAATTTTTCTCCTTCTTCCAGATCCCCTGAAACTGTTTTGTGTTATGGGGTGGAGTGGGGGGGAAGAGTGGAAAGAAGAAGAGATGAGATTTAGATAAAATTTGAGTTTGGAATTTTAATGACTGGATGTGGCCAGACAGTGTCAAGATCTTCCCAAGATGCTAAGGTGGAAGCAATGATGGGAGAAAAGCTAAGCATTTTGTGTTTATCCTCTGTAACAGTCAGGATAGGCTAGGCTGCTCCTAGTAACAAACTCTAGTGGATTCCACAAAAGAAAAGTTCCCCATTCACACAAAATCTGATGTGGGTTAGGTCATTGGTTCTCAAATTTAGTTTTACCAGAACCCCCTGTTGGGCTTGCTTAAGCTGGGATCCCTCAGCTCCACCCAGGAGACCCTGAGTCTGTAGGTCTGGGGTGTGACTCAAGAGTCTACCTTTCTAGTAAGCAATCAGGTGATGCTGTGCCACAAACTTGTCAAGTGGCCTTTGGCAAGTTACTTTCCAGTCCTTGGCTCTCAGTTTCCATGAAATAAAAACTGTCCGGTTGGACCAGATGGTCTAAGGGGTCCTTCCAGGTTTAACACCCATGATTCTATGTCCCTCGGATCAGGCTTTATTGCACATATAATTCAATTTACTTAAGAAAGTTCTGGCTGAAAATTATTAAGTAGTCATGAGTTAGGTTCTCCTGTACATTTCAGAGCCACACCAGACACTTACGCTTCTGCCCTCAGGGTGACACTTCACATTTGCTTTGGACTTTAGAGAGCATGAACTAATGTGATCCTCATAACAACTCTGAGAGTACAGATGACAGGAAGGGAGAGAAAGAATACTAAAGGAGCCTGGCCACATGATGTGAGCTTTATGCATCATTTCCTAACAGTCCTCTCGGAGAGGGTCATACTACCCCCATTTTGCAGATAGGAAAACCGAGGTCCAGTAAAGCAAAGTGAGTTGTCTAATGTTATGCTGATAATAAGATGACAAAAATCACTTTTCTGACTCTGAACTCCCTCCTCTTCCTTCTGTATGGTGTGGTGTTGCTGCCTTTATTTATAATCTCCCCAGGAGATGTTCAATTGATAACCCTTAATAGCACAGCTGCCCCTTGGATCATCTCTTCATGATGCTCTCCAAGTAGACCCACAACCTCAGCAAGTCACTCCACTTCTCTGCACCTCTGTTTCTTCAGTAAAATTGAGAGCAACAGTCCCTGCCACGTAAGAGAGTTAAAATCCTTGTTGAAAGTATGAAGTGAGATCATGAATTCAGAGCATTTAGCCCAGAGCATATGTTTAGGGCTCAGTAATTGCTCATTCTTCCTGCTTTTGCAAATTGTAGTGGGTCTCTACTAATAGCACTAGGTAATCCCCTTCCCCCAAATCACATTTAAAAATCACAAAGAAATTGTTTACATTAAAAAAAAGGTTTTATTATGAAAATGCATGAAGTCAACTGCATCATTCATGTATCCACAATAGCAGAGAAACAGTGATAGTGAACCATCCCCACGGGGGACATGTGTCCTTTGGGAAAACATAAATAATGGAAATAATACCAAATACAATAACACAGCGTATAATAAGATTAAGTTAAGAGGAGGGACAGGAACTACTGAGAGGAATAAAGTGCATCTCATGGAGAGGCATTTGGGCTCAGGTGACTTTCCCTGAAGACGTCCTGCTCTAAGCCTGAAGCAGCTTAGTTCAGTTCCAAGTCATCCATGTACTCCTGGACCCAGGGCTCACTGGGGTTGGCGCACACTTGCCTGCCCCTTTTGGTTTGGAATCTGCAGGACAAGGAATGGACAGGTCAGAATCCTATGACGGCATCTGCTACTATCCTTTGCTTGTGGAAGTCATCTCCCTCTGCTTGACCTTGGTTCATGTTCGGCAATGCTAGAGGACATGCTTCTTCCTCAGTGGCCTTGGCATCAAACTTCCTGTAACTTCCTGCCCCACAGTGCTCCACATTAGGAACCAATGAGTTTTGCAACCATATGGATAGATCTCCCCATTCCCTACCACTCTTAGCAACGACTTGTCCGTGTGTTTTTCTAGCAGAGTTTAATGCCAGAATCACACGTCTGAATCTCATGTGAACTTCCTGACTTTTCCTGATTTCCTGGCCTCTATGTATCTTCCTTCCTAGGAGTCCCCTTCTTAGGCTCCTACCTGACCGCTTTCAGGGCTCAAAAAAGTGACCTCATGACCTGTTTCCTCACTGTTCTTTGGCAGAGCTTCAGCCCTAAGATCTGCCTCCCCTCAGCTAGATCACCTCTTGCCCCAGACTGGTCCCTCTTTAAATCCTGCCCTCACCCTCGTCTCCCAGAGCAGCCCAGGGGTTAATACTCACACCACAGCTGGCTGAGAGCAGAGGCTGCTGGTCTCATAGTAATCAATCACGAAGTTGCGAGGAAGCTTCCGAAGGGTGTACGAGAAGCAGCAGGAGGTGGGAGGGTCTGAACCCACTGGAAGGAAAGGTCAGGGTGAGATCAAAGCTCTACTTGGGAACTGTTCATTTTGTTTTCTAGCTATAGATCTTCAGTGAGCATCCCTGTGCACTACCAGAACCTCAAATATGGTCCCTCATATACACGCTCACCTACCCTAGGATGTAACTCGTTTGCTAAATAGAGAATCCTCAGAGAAGACAAGAAAGAATTCTAAAAGACTAGAACTGGCTTGAGTCTCAGAACATGTCTCATACTTTTCATGTTGCAAATGGAGAAAACAAATCAAGGTATAGTGAGGAATAGCCTTAAACCAGTAGTCAGAGACAGAGCCAATTCACAGTCTGATTTCCAGCCTGCTTTTCCTCTATTGGCTCTTAAGTTTAGATATTAATATCTTGAATATCTAAACTAGAATGTCTACTAGACTCTACATTGAACAGAAGACTACATGGAAATCTTCCCGGCTCCCTTTTTTCCCCTGCCCAGAGCCCACTGTTGGACCAACCCAACTGAAAATTGGGCTCTGCTTTCATGTTAGCCCTAGAAGTAGCAGCTGAAAGAGTGAACTTACTTGGCGCTGAGAGCACTGGCGAGCAGAAGGCAGCCCCAAGTACGAGGAGAGAGAGGATGGTCACGCAGAGCTTCATGGTCTTGGTGGAGGAGAGATTTGCACAGAGCTGAGACTGCAGAGCTCAGAAGTTTCAGAACCTGGCAGTGTCCTGTGCTGATCTGAGCTGGGAACCCCTTTTTATAGGGACTCTGAGGCCTGGACAGAGACAGGGGGCATAGCAGGGCCAGTGGAATTTCCAGGGTAAAGATGATGTCATGGCAACAAAAAGGAAACTGAAGCAAACTAAGAGTAGCTGAGAGTGAGGAGTTCCTCACAGCTCTTCATCACGGAAGAAAGGAGGGACTCAGTGGGGAGAAGTGGGCTGTGCACTAAAGGGAAGTGGTACACCAAAGACTATGACTGAGACTGGAGAGAGAGCTGTGGATCAGAGAGGGAGGATGAGAGGTTCACACCTACTGAAAAGTGCTTGGGGTCAATAACCTACTGCTCTTGGCAGTTGGCACCTTCAGAAACTGGAGGCTTCATGTCACTCTTCTTAGGTTAGCTGTAGTCTCCAGAACAAACCACAGAGGGAAGTTACTGACCATTACAGGCTCTTCCACATGAGATCAGCTTCATCCAGAAAGAGGGATCCAGGGAACCTGTCCAGAACAAGAAGGGAAAAGAAAAGAAATCAAGATTTCAGGATATTTTCTTAGGCTGAGGAGAATGAAGTCAGTAAACTCAAGTTTGGAAGACACAAAGAATGTCCTTAAATAGGATTAGCTACCTAGCAAAGAGTTTGTCCATGTGATAGACAGTAAGTGTAACCAACCTAAGTGTGTGGGTATTTCTCATCCTGTCCATAAGGAATGCCTCATGTCCCCAGATGCTAGGGACCGTGTAGAAGATGAAGCTCACCAAGATCAGGGATACAGTAATGCATGAGATGGGGCAAATGAGGAAGTTCAGACAACGGGACCAAGATCTCACCCACCTTTAGCTCAGCTACTTTGACCCTCTGCTTGCTCCCAACCCTGTATTGTGACCTGTTCTGCCCTGAGAAAGAAAATAGAAGAGTGAAAGAGGAAGCCAAGCTCCTTGATGCTTTTGAGTTATTAGATAGGAGGGGACAGAGCAGCATCCTAGAGGTACTTCAAGGTCATTTGATAAAATACAAGGTTGTCCTACCTCATCCTCCCCTTCTCTTCCCACACACAAGCTGTACTTAACCTTTTACCTCCATTCTCTCTGTCCTCATCCTTGTCTTTGTACAGGATTTGTTTCAAATGTTCTGGTTTTCCCCAAGACCCCCACCTGCCATTCTGTGTTCCCCGATAGCTCACATACTCATCTCTCTCACACTACCTCCTGGCTGATGCAATATCATTGTCATGTCTCAAAGACCTGGCTTTAGGAAAAGGAACATGCATCTGGGTTCCCCAGAGCCACATGGATTTCATTATCAATGGCATTTCAATTCAACCCACCTTCCTAATCACCTGCTGTTTGTAGATGAAACAGCTGAATGAAGCCCCACGTCCCACCCTCAAGGAGATCTTAGGCTGGTGATGGCATTGACAGTGTCAGAATAGCCATCCCATAAGGTGGAATAAGGGAAGTGACAAGAAAGAGGTAGAAATGGAGTGTCAGGAAGCCTGACGATGAAGGTGGGTGGTTCCAACTTAAGTCTAAACCCACAGTGTGCTAAGGACGAGCTTCTGTTCCCATGAGCCCAGAGTGCTGATCTTCAGAGACGGTGGAGCCATCTTCTCTGGGGGCATCAGGAAGATTAGTCTGGGAAGTAAGAGTCTTGTTTTGAATAGAGGGTCCTCAGAGAAGACAAGAATTCTAGAAGACTGGAACTGGGTTAGGTCTCAGAGAATGTTCCATTGCCTTCATGTTACAGACTGCAAACCATGGAGAGGACAAGGACTTGCTTAAACCAGTAGCTAGAGGTAGGGGCAGTCAGTCTGACTTCTAGCACATCCTTTTCCTCCATTGGTTGCTAAAATTGGACCTTGAATATTATTGACTGTCTACTAGACATGTGGGGAACCTCTGATGGTAATAGATTCTCAGAAGAGATTAGAGAAATGCTGGAGAGACAACGCTGTCGATGCAGACATTCTGGCCTTTTATAGGATGGTGAGATTCAGGAGTGTTGGGGACAACACTAGGTTTGGGGGCCAAGAGCATGAACCTCTGGGAACTGGAATGCCTGGAACTGAACTGGAAGATTATTTGAGGGCAAATGTTGAGACTGAAAAATCAAGGTGAGCTGGGACATAGAGTCACATTGCCAAGATAATAACCAAGGAGAGGTAAATCCTGTGGTTTTGCCAGTGTGGTATTCATGGCATTTTGGGGAAATGGGAGCAGAAACTGAATTGTAGATCAGGCAGACAAACATACAATTATCCAAATTGAAGGGTTCACAATTTCAAACTATACTGCAAAGCCATAGCAATAAAAACAGCATGTTACTGGCACAAAAACAGACATAAAAACCAGTGGAACAGACTAGAAGACCCAAATATGAATCCACACAGCTATGCCAAACTGATTTTTGACAAAGACACCCAAAGTATTTGATGGAGAAAAGACAGCCTCCTCAACAAATGTTGCAGGGAAAACTGGATATCTGCATGTAGAAAACTGAAACTAGATCCATGTCTTTCACCCTGTACAAGTATTAACTCAAAGTGGATTAAGGACCTTGATATAAGAAGCTAGTGCAAGAAAGAGTGGGGAATAGTTTGGAATTAATAGGCATGGGCAATGACTTCCTTTTTTTTTTTTTAACATAAATTTTTTTTTTCATTTTTCTTTTATTATTCATATGTGCATACAAGGCTTGGTCATTTCTTCCCCCTGCCCCCACCCCCTCCCAAATGGCTCAGCAACTGAGAAAAAGTATTGACAAATGGGAACTACTTGAAGTTAAAAATCTTCTGCATGCAAAAGAAATGGTCACCAGGTTGATGAGATAGCCCACAGAATGGGAGAAAATCTTTGCCAGCTATATATCTGACAAGGGCTTAATAACAAGAATATTCAGGAAGCTCAAAAAACTAAACTTCTCCAAAATCAATGACCCAATGAAGAAATGGGCAAAGGAACTGAACAGAGCTTTTTCAAAGGAAGAAGTCCACATGGCCAAAAAACAGATGAAGAAATGCTCAACATCCCTGGCCATAAAGGAAATGCAAATCAAAATCACACTAAGATTCCACCTCACTCCAGTTAGATCGAACAATGACAAAGTTGGTGAGGATGAGGGAAAAAAGGAACCTTCATACACTGTTGGTGGGAATGTAAATTAGTACAGCCACTATGGAAAACAGTATGTAGGCTCTTCAAAAAAGTAAAAAGAGAACTGCCATATGATCCAGCAATTCCTCTTCTAGGGATATACCCAAAGGAGTGGAAATCAAGTTACAATAAAGGCATCTGCACACTATAGCTAAGCTATGGAAACAACCAAGATGCCCCACTACTGAGGAATGGATTAAGAAAATGTGGTATCTATACACAATGGAATTTTATTCAGCGATGAAGAAGAATGAAATTTTGTCATTTGCAGGTAAAGAGATGGAACTAGAGAACATCTTAAGTGAAGTTAGCAGGTTCAGAAAGCCAAAGGTCGCATGTTTTCTCTCATGTGTGGAATATAGACCTAACAGAAATACAAGCAGTATTATGAAGAACAGATCATACAAGAGAGGAAGGGTAAAAGAAGGAAGTTAAGAAGGTGAATATGGTTGATATACTTCCTATACAAGAATGAATATAGAAATTGTAAGCCTGTCGAAATCACCCTAAGAAGGGACTAAAGTGGAAAGGAGAAAAATACAGGAGATGAACCAATTCAGGTTATAATTACATATATACATGGAAATGTTCCAAGGCAACCAATGTAGAGCTACCTTAAATGAACAAAAATGTTATTTTTTCCCCAAAAATGGAGAACAGAAAGGCAGAACAGGTCCTGTCTGGAGGGTTGGTACCAGTGGGAGGGGAGAGGATGCAGGGACAGGGTGTAGGGGGGTGACTATGGTGCAAATTTTGTGTACACATGTATGCCGGTGGAAAAATGAGACCTGTTGAAATAATTCCAGGAATGGGGGAGGGGAGATAAAGGAGAATGATGGAGGGGTGAATTTAACTATGATACAGTGTAAGAACTTCTGTAAATATCACAATGTAACCTCTGTTACGTTGTTCCAACTATTTACCTATCTGTTTCAAGGTAAATAGTTCCATCTATTTACCTGCAAAAAAATGTTTAAAAAACAGTAAATTACATTTTATATAAAAACAAAGTGGAAGGTTCAAATAGTATCTGTAGGATAATGAGCTGGCTGAAGCAGGTCACCAGTGGCTGCAACCACTGAGCAAAGGAGTTCCAGACACATTGTTTTTAACATAGAAAGGGGCCTTAATCACCTGCCATGCGTGCTCTTTGGCTGTCTAGGGCAGAGGGCAGTGACTTCAGGGGGTGTTAAATTCCATGAAGGCAATGGAAGATGCTTTGAGATGAGTTTCAATATGTCACCAGTATTTAGTGGGTTGGAGAAAACTTTCCGTGTTCTTTATGAAGCATCTGCCCTTAAACTTGTTTCTACCCTCTTCCCATGCAGATCACAGGGAATCTTCCAGCAAGAGAAGAAAATACTCCTATATAGTTTTATTGAACACCTAGTACGTGACAGGGCCTGTGACAGAGGTTGAGAATTCATGCTTCAGATGGTGGTTGTGAACAATCAAAGAAGGCTTCATGTCTAAATTACTTTTCAAAATTGTATTAGTTCATTTTTCTTTTATAAAAATATGCATGGTGGGCTGGGGGAGTGCCTCAAGTGGTAGAGAGTCTGCCTAGCAAGCATGAGGCTCTGAGTTCAAACCCCAGTACTACCAAAAAACAATAAAAAAAAAAACCCAAGCAAACAAGCAAAAATATGCATGGTCGTTGTGCAAAATTTGGAATCTATAAGCAGGCATAAATCAGAACCTAAAAATTATCCTATCATTCCACAACTACTTTTATATTTTACTATTAGTACCTAATAGTATTTCTTGAATTAATGTGTTATTATTGTTGCTTAATAATTCTTCCATGTTACTAAACA